GGTGAAACAGGGGGAGCAAGGGTGAAACAGGGGGAGCAAGGGTGAAACAGGGGGAGCAAGGGTGAAACAGGGGGAGCAAGGGTGAAACAGGGGGAGCAAGGGTGAAACAGGGGGAGCAAGGGTGAAACAGGGGGAGCAAGGGTGAAACAGGGGGAGCAAGGGTGAAACAGGGGGAGCAAGGGTGAAACAGGGGGAGCAAGGGTGAAACAGGGGGAGCAAGGGTGAAACAGGGGGAGCAAGGGTGAAACAGGGGGAGCAAGGGTGAAACAGGGGGAGCAAGGGTGAAACAGGGGGAGCAAGGGTGAAACAGGGGGAGCAAGGGTGAAACAGGGGGAGCAAGGGTGAAACAGGGGGAGCAAGGGTGAAACAGGGGGAGCAAGGGTGAAACAGGGGGAGCAAGGGTGAAACAGGGGGAGCAAGGGTGAAACAGGGGGAGCAAGGGTGAAACAGGGGGAGCAAGGGTGAAACAGGGGGAGCAAGGGTGAAACAGGGGGAGCAAGGGTGAAACAGGGGGAGCAAGGGTGAAACAGGGGGAGCAAGGGTGAAACAGGGGGAGCAAGGGTGAAACAGGGGGAGCAAGGGTGAAACAGGGGGAGCAAGGGTGAAACAGGGGGAGCAAGGGTGAAACAGGGGGAGCAAGGGTGAAACAGGGGGAGCAAGGGTGAAACAGGGGGAGCAAGGGTGAAACAGGGGGAGCAAGGGTGAAACAGGGGGAGCAAGGGTGAAACAGGGGGAGCAAGGGTGAAACAGGGGGAGCAAGGGTGAAACAGGGGGAGCAAGGGTGAAACAGGGGGAGCAAGGGTGAAACAGGGGGAGCAAGGGTGAAACAGGGGGAGCAAGGGTGAAACAGGGGGAGCAAGGGTGAAACAGGGGGAGCAAGGGTGAAACAGGGGGAGCAAGGGTGAAACAGGGGGAGCAAGGGTGAAACAGGGGGAGCAAGGGTGAAACAGGGGGAGCAAGGGTGAAACAGGGGGAGCAAGGGTGAAACAGGGGGAGCAAGGGTGAAACAGGGGGAGCAAGGGTGAAACAGGGGGAGCAAGGGTGAAACAGGGGGAGCAAGGGTGAAACAGGGGGAGCAAGGGTGAAACAGGGGGAGCAAGGGTGAAACAGGGGGAGCAAGGGTGAAACAGGGGGAGCAAGGGTGAAACAGGGGGAGCAAGGGTGAAACAGGGGGAGCAAGGGTGAAACAGGGGGAGCAAGGGTGAAACAGGGGGAGCAAGGGTGAAACAGGGGGAGCAAGGGTGAAACAGGGGGAGCAAGGGTGAAACAGGGGGAGCAAGGGTGAAACAGGGGGAGCAAGGGTGAAACAGGGGGAGCAAGGGTGAAACAGGGGGAGCAAGGGTGAAACAGGGGGAGCAAGGGTGAAACAGGGGGAGCAAGGGTGAAACAGGGGGAGCAAGGGTGAAACAGGGGGAGCAAGGGTGAAACAGGGGGAGCAAGGGTGAAACAGGGGGAGCAAGGGTGAAACAGGGGGAGCAAGGGTGAAACAGGGGGAGCAAGGGTGAAACAGGGGGAGCAAGGGTGAAACAGGGGGAGCAAGGGTGAAACAGGGGGAGCAAGGGTGAAACAGGGGGAGCAAGGGTGAAACAGGGGGAGCAAGGGTGAAACAGGGGGAGCAAGGGTGAAACAGGGGGAGCAAGGGTGAAACAGGGGGAGCAAGGGTGAAACAGGGGGAGCAAGGGTGAAACAGGGGGAGCAAGGGTGAAACAGGGGGAGCAAGGGTGAAACAGGGGGAGCAAGGGTGAAACAGGGGGAGCAAGGGTGAAACAGGGGGAGCAAGGGTGAAACAGGGGGAGCAAGGGTGAAACAGGGGGAGCAAGGGTGAAACAGGGGGAGCAAGGGTGAAACAGGGGGAGCAAGGGTGAAACAGGGGGAGCAAGGGTGAAACAGGGGGAGCAAGGGTGAAACAGGGGGAGCAAGGGTGAAACAGGGGGAGCAAGGGTGAAACAGGGGGAGCAAGGGTGAAACAGGGGGAGCAAGGGTGAAACAGGGGGAGCAAGGGTGAAACAGGGGGAGCAAGGGTGAAACAGGGGGAGCAAGGGTGAAACAGGGGGAGCAAGGGTGAAACAGGGGGAGCAAGGGTGAAACAGGGGGAGCAAGGGTGAAACAGGGGGAGCAAGGGTGAAACAGGGGGAGCAAGGGTGAAACAGGGGGAGCAAGGGTGAAACAGGGGGAGCAAGGGTGAAACAGGGGGAGCAAGGGTGAAACAGGGGGAGCAAGGGTGAAACAGGGGGAGCAAGGGTGAAACAGGGGGAGCAAGGGTGAAACAGGGGGAGCAAGGGTGAAACAGGGGGAGCAAGGGTGAAACAGGGGGAGCAAGGGTGAAACAGGGGGAGCAAGGGTGAAACAGGGGGAGCAAGGGTGAAACAGGGGGAGCAAGGGTGAAACAGGGGGAGCAAGGGTGAAACAGGGGGAGCAAGGGTGAAACAGGGGGAGCAAGGGTGAAACAGGGGGAGCAAGGGTGAAACAGGGGGAGCAAGGGTGAAACAGGGGGAGCAAGGGTGAAACAGGGGGAGCAAGGGTGAAACAGGGGGAGCAAGGGTGAAACAGGGGGAGCAAGGGTGAAACAGGGGGAGCAAGGGTGAAACAGGGGGAGCAAGGGTGAAACAGGGGGAGCAAGGGTGAAACAGGGGGAGCAAGGGTGAAACAGGGGGAGCAAGGGTGAAACAGGGGGAGCAAGGGTGAAACAGGGGGAGCAAGGGTGAAACAGGGGGAGCAAGGGTGAAACAGGGGGAGCAAGGGTGAAACAGGGGGAGCAAGGGTGAAACAGGGGGAGCAAGGGTGAAACAGGGGGAGCAAGGGTGAAACAGGGGGAGCAAGGGTGAAACAGGGGGAGCAAGGGTGAAACAGGGGGAGCAAGGGTGAAACAGGGGGAGCAAGGGTGAAACAGGGGGAGCAAGGGTGAAACAGGGGGAGCAAGGGTGAAACAGGGGGAGCAAGGGTGAAACAGGGGGAGCAAGGGTGAAACAGGGGGAGCAAGGGTGAAACAGGGGGAGCAAGGGTGAAACAGGGGGAGCAAGGGTGAAACAGGGGGAGCAAGGGTGAAACAGGGGGAGCAAGGGTGAAACAGGGGGAGCAAGGGTGAAACAGGGGGAGCAAGGGTGAAACAGGGGGAGCAAGGGTGAAACAGGGGGAGCAAGGGTGAAACAGGGGGAGCAAGGGTGAAACAGGGGGAGCAAGGGTGAAACAGGGGGAGCAAGGGTGAAACAGGGGGAGCAAGGGTGAAACAGGGGGAGCAAGGGTGAAACAGGGGGAGCAAGGGTGAAACAGGGGGAGCAAGGGTGAAACAGGGGGAGCAAGGGTGAAACAGGGGGAGCAAGGGTGAAACAGGGGGAGCAAGGGTGAAACAGGGGGAGCAAGGGTGAAACAGGGGGAGCAAGGGTGAAACAGGGGGAGCAAGGGTGAAACAGGGGGAGCAAGGGTGAAACAGGGGGAGCAAGGGTGAAACAGGGGGAGCAAGGGTGAAACAGGGGGAGCAAGGGTGAAACAGGGGGAGCAAGGGTGAAACAGGGGGAGCAAGGGTGAAACAGGGGGAGCAAGGGTGAAACAGGGGGAGCAAGGGTGAAACAGGGGGAGCAAGGGTGAAACAGGGGGAGCAAGGGTGAAACAGGGGGAGCAAGGGTGAAACAGGGGGAGCAAGGGTGAAACAGGGGGAGCAAGGGTGAAACAGGGGGAGCAAGGGTGAAACAGGGGGAGCAAGGGTGAAACAGGGGGAGCAAGGGTGAAACAGGGGGAGCAAGGGTGAAACAGGGGGAGCAAGGGTGAAACAGGGGGAGCAAGGGTGAAACAGGGGGAGCAAGGGTGAAACAGGGGGAGCAAGGGTGAAACAGGGGGAGCAAGGGTGAAACAGGGGGAGCAAGGGTGAAACAGGGGGAGCAAGGGTGAAACAGGGGGAGCAAGGGTGAAACAGGGGGAGCAAGGGTGAAACAGGGGGAGCAAGGGTGAAACAGGGGGAGCAAGGGTGAAACAGGGGGAGCAAGGGTGAAACAGGGGGAGCAAGGGTGAAACAGGGGGAGCAAGGGTGAAACAGGGGGAGCAAGGGTGAAACAGGGGGAGCAAGGGTGAAACAGGGGGAGCAAGGGTGAAACAGGGGGAGCAAGGGTGAAACAGGGGGAGCAAGGGTGAAACAGGGGGAGCAAGGGTGAAACAGGGGGAGCAAGGGTGAAACAGGGGGAGCAAGGGTGAAACAGGGGGAGCAAGGGTGAAACAGGGGGAGCAAGGGTGAAACAGGGGGAGCAAGGGTGAAACAGGGGGAGCAAGGGTGAAACAGGGGGAGCAAGGGTGAAACAGGGGGAGCAAGGGTGAAACAGGGGGAGCAAGGGTGAAACAGGGGGAGCAAGGGTGAAACAGGGGGAGCAAGGGTGAAACAGGGGGAGCAAGGGTGAAACAGGGGGAGCAAGGGTGAAACAGGGGGAGCAAGGGTGAAACAGGGGGAGCAAGGGTGAAACAGGGGGAGCAAGGGTGAAACAGGGGGAGCAAGGGTGAAACAGGGGGAGCAAGGGTGAAACAGGGGGAGCAAGGGTGAAACAGGGGGAGCAAGGGTGAAACAGGGGGAGCAAGGGTGAAACAGGGGGAGCAAGGGTGAAACAGGGGGAGCAAGGGTGAAACAGGGGGAGCAAGGGTGAAACAGGGGGAGCAAGGGTGAAACAGGGGGAGCAAGGGTGAAACAGGGGGAGCAAGGGTGAAACAGGGGGAGCAAGGGTGAAACAGGGGGAGCAAGGGTGAAACAGGGGGAGCAAGGGTGAAACAGGGGGAGCAAGGGTGAAACAGGGGGAGCAAGGGTGAAACAGGGGGAGCAAGGGTGAAACAGGGGGAGCAAGGGTGAAACAGGGGGAGCAAGGGTGAAACAGGGGGAGCAAGGGTGAAACAGGGGGAGCAAGGGTGAAACAGGGGGAGCAAGGGTGAAACAGGGGGAGCAAGGGTGAAACAGGGGGGAGCAGGTGAGCAGGGAAGGGGATGGGGGGAAGCAGGGAAGGGGATGGGGGGGGGTAGGGAAGGGGATGCGGGGCGGGGAGGGGGACGGGGGGGAAGGAGGAAGGGGGACGGGGGGGGGAAGCAGGGAAGGGGACGGGTGGAGCAGGGAAGGGGACGGGGGGAAGCAGGAAGGGGAATGGGGGAAGCAGGGAAGGGAAGGGGAACAGGAAGGGGTTGTGGGAAAGCAGGTGAAGGGGATGGGGGGAGGCAGGGGAGGGGACGGGGGAAGGAGGGAAGGGGCAGTAGGGGATGGGGGGAAGCAGGGAAGGGGATGGGGGAAGGAGGAAGGGGAATGGGGGAGCAGGGAAGGGGATGAAGGGGAACAGGGAAGGGGTTGTGGGGAAGCAGGGAAGGGGATGGGGGGAGGCAGGGGAGGGGACGGGGGGAGGAGGGAGGGGACAAGCAGGGAAGGGGAAGGGGGAAGCAGGAAGGGGATGGGGGGGAAGCAGGAAGGGAATGGGGAAGCAGGGAAGGGGAGAAGGGGAACAGGGAAGGGGTTGTGGGGAAGCAGGGAAGGGGATGGGGGGAGGCAGGGGAGGGGACGGGGGGAAGGAGGGAAGGGGACAAGCAGGAAGGGGAAGGGGGGAAGCAGGGAAGGGGATGGGGGGAAGCAGGGAAGGGGAATGGGGGAAGCAGGGAAGGGGATGAAGGGGAACAGGGAAGGGGTTGTGGGGAAGCAGGGAAGGGGATGGGGGGAGGCAGGGGAGGGGACGCGGGGAAGGAGGGAAGGGGACGGGGGGAAGCAGGCAAGGAAGGGGGAGACAGGGAAGGGGATGGGGGAGGCAGGGAAAGGGATGGGGGGGAGCGGAAGGCGGAGGAGCGGAACAGAGAGGGGAGAGAGCAAGGAGAGGTGTAACGCATGAGCCCTATGGTGGCCACCTCGTTGACATCGAACATGCCCTGATGAGGGAGGGAAGGGAGCGAATGTAGGACGCGGAGGGGGAGAGAGGGAAGGGGCTATAGGTAGATACAAAGATGAAGAGAGAAAAGGGGAGGGAGGAGAGGGAGAGCACATGGTTGAAGAGACTTGAGAGGAGGAGACTGTGTCGTGAGAGTGAGGAACTGGGAACGAGGGGAATTGGGAGAGGTAGGTACTAACAGAAAGAGAACCAGGTGTGTGTAAAATAGGACACTCACGGTGCGTGGATGGGCAGAATTCAGAACCAGCACGTCAACCCCGCACGCCCCTCCCCCACCACCCCCACCCACTTTCCTCCTCCCCCTCCCCCCCCCCCCCCCCCCCCCCCCCCCCTTCCCCCCCTCCTCACTTTCCCCTCTCCTCCCCCCCCCTTTTTTTTCCTCTGCTTCCCCCCTCCTTTCCCCCCCCCCCCCTCCGCACCCACCCACATTCAGGATAGACGACTCACGGGGCGCGGATGGGCGGCATCATTCAACTCCGCACGGCCCTTCCTCACCACGCGCCTCCTCCCCCGCGGAGCACGCTTTCCGCCTGGCGCTGCGTCGTGCAGCACGTCCGCTCCCCCCTTGAGTCGAACGGCAGCACCACCACCCCGCCGGCGCGTGCGTTCCGCAGCAGGAGGCGCCCACTGCCTGCAGGCGCTCCGCGGAGCGCGCGGAGAGGATCAGCCGCGCGCCCATCGCCGCGAAACGCTGCGCCAGCTCCTGGCCTGGTACGGGGAGCGGGGCAGAGTGGGGCGCGAAGAGGGGGCGGGAGAGGGGGGAGAGGGGGGAGCGGGGACCCGGGGGAAGGGAGACGTCGCGCGGAAGGGGGTGAGGATAGAGGGAGTGAGCAGGGGGAATGGGAGTGAACAGGAGAGAAGAGAGTGAAGGGGGGGAAGAGTGAGCAGGGGGGAAGAGAGAGAGAGAGTAGGATGGGGGAATGGAGGGGATAAAGACGAGCAATGGGAGGGGTAGAGAAGGCGACTGGCGGGAAGCGAGGGCGACTGGAGGAGAAGCCATTGCGCGACGGGCGGGCAAGAGAGAATGAGCAGAGAGAGTGAAAGCAATGGGAGGAAAGTGAAGGCGACGGGTGGGGAAGCAAGTGCGACAGGCGGGGGAAGAAGGCGACGAAGGCGACGGGAGGGGAAGTGACGGCAAGGGGTGGGGGGGGGGGAGTAAGGCGACGGGAGGGGGAAAAGTGAAGGAGACGGGGGGTGGGAAGTCGCGACGGGGTGGGGGAAGAGAAGGCGAACGGGGGGGGGGGGGGGGGGTGGGGGGGGGGGGTGGGGGGGGGCTGGCGCGGGGGGGAAGGGAGGGCGACGGGGTGGGGGAAATGAAGGCCACGGGGTGGGAAAGTGAAGGCGACGGGGGGTGGGAAGTCGCGACGGGGTTGGGGGGGTGACCGCGACGGGGAAGAGCAGGCGACGGTGGGCGGGGAGTGAAGGCGCCGGGCGGAGCGTTCTCGCGACGGGCTGGGGTCGCGAAGGCGTCGAGCTGCGGAAATGATGCGACGACGCGGGCGACAGAGAGCGGAAGCGTGGGACCTAGGGAAAGGAAGGAAAGCAAGGGGAGGATCATGCTTGGGACGAACGGGTGTGATTCGATTTTCATCTGCGAGATTACGCTAGGCAGTAGTTGCACAATAACCTGCTAACACTAGCTTTGCGCGTCAACATCTAAATCCGCGCCACCCACATCGAAGGCGCATCTGAACCCTTTGAGTGAACGCTCTCGCCCTGCCCTATCTACGAGTATGATCTATGCATCATACATGAGTGCTATCTCAAACTGTGCACAGTTTGGTATGCACGGGCTTTTCTGGTTGTGGGAAGGACCCCACCCATCTTGGGCAGCGAGAAACTTTTGTCGCAAGTTGTTCTCGCGAGTTGAAAGTCTCTCGCAACCCAACCGAACCTCTCCGTGCCTGCCCTCCCGAGCCTAGTTTTTGGCGTTGACTTCCGTTGAGTAAATTCAGGTCTTGGGCTTGTATTTGAAGGAAACCTCAGTCCGTAACTTTAACCTGTGCTTTCGTAACTTGAACTACATACACGACTCGTGGCGCTGAAGTCTC